CGGAGGCTCGTGCAAGCACGAACAGTTCACAGGCGCTGCCGGCCCGGAGTGCATGAGCCACGCCTGGTTTGAACAAGCCGTGCTGGATTTGCTTCAGCAGTGCCAGGTTTGCCCAGGCACTCCGAAGTGTTGCACGAGCCCTGCTCAAGCAGTGCCCGGTTTACGCGAGGAGTTCACAAGTGTCCTGTGAGCTGTGTCCAGAATGCACAAGCAGTTCTCAAGCATTGCACAAGCCCTGCACGAAACATTGTCTCCTCAATGCATGACATTTGCATGAGACATGCCAATTTTGCATGTGCCCTGGCAAAGTTCACACACGTTGCAGTTCACATGCATTGCATGAGCTGTCCCTAGGCTATGCAAGAGCTGCGCAAGCAGCATCTCATTTGCACAAGTAGGTCACAAGCACTGTGAGCCATGCCTGGGCTGCATGAGCCCTGTACAAGCTGTGCCCAGGCTGCATGCAGTGAGCATGGGCAGCATCTGGTTCACACGAGCAGTTCACAAGCGTTGCACAAGCTTTGCAGAAGCTGTTCTACATGTGCACAAGCAGTTCTCAAGTGTGTGAGCCAATGCAAACAGTTGTAATGTGCACATGAAATACAGCTAAAGTCTCCTGAGCGGGTCTTGTGCCAGATAGGTGCAAAATCCCTGTCATTGCTTGGGATCCCCAGGTGCAAAAATCCCCGTATGAGAGGCCAATCAGCCCCGGCGTTACCGGCGCAGCAGGCTGGTACCAACTTGGTGCGTGCATGTGGGCATGTGGCTCCCACCAGCCCGCATGAATATGAGGTTTCTGACAAGTGCTCACACATGGGGAATTCTTGCAGCGCCCGGTGCATGAGGGCTGTTTTGTTCGCAGAGGCCACGTCCATCCCATGCTGTTTGAGGGGGAAGAGCGCCAGGCTGGGACGGGCAGCTCAGCCGGCCTGACTGCTCCGTGGCGGCCAGCATTAGCAGACCCACCACCGCTCGGGCCTTTGCGCCACCGTGGTTTTGGCAGCCGCACAGACACCGCTCTTTTCCTGGGAAGCATTTCCCAGGATAAAAGTTGGATTTCTCACTTTTCAGAGCTTGCCGCGGGGCTTGTTTTTTCGCTCTGTCAAGAGAGACTGTTCCCGGACGCTGTTGCCTCCACGGCTGCTCCGCCAGGCCCCCTTGGGC